GATTGCATCTTGCATAATACGAAACAATTAAACCGCGAACGCCGCGTGAGAACACGTGTAAACGCGATCCGAGTCGCGCCCTTACACGCATTCCTGTGCGACGACTCGCTCTCCCAGAAAGGTGTCACGGCGGAACCATCATCCCGTACAAGCACGCCGAGGCGCCACTGAGTCGGCCTGTCCTACACGTGCTCGTACGCGGTGACGATAACCCAACCCGCGCCATCCCACTGGCAATGATACGATGACGCGATCTTGGGGCTCAGACTCGTCCTATGACCCGGACTATTTCACCCCTATAATAAACGAGCTCATAAGGACCCTATACCCTTGTCACACGGAGAATCGGCTATGTCCGTGGGAATTCCACTGTGCCACCACTAGCGACCCTCGGTGCTCCGATTTCCCTTCCCCCGACCACACCTACTACTTCATCCACCCCGGATTCGTTGAGATCACCACCAGTTTCCCTCCTTTCCGCCTCCTTCTCCCGTATCATCAACTGAGTGTCGTTCCGTGGCCGGCCATAGCCCCATATTGGCCCAATACGTTTTGCGTAAACTGCCGACGCAACGACGCGCAGAACACTCCGGAATTTCGGAGGCCCAATTCAGGCACGCGGCGGCCTGCGCCGTGTGGCGGCCCCCGACGGCCTAACTTTTCAGGACCACCTCCACCACGGAGGAATTTTCCCGTAACCCGTCGCCCACGGTGTCCCGGCCCCATCGGACCGTGAGTCCCTTGCGCATGATCGCCTAATTGCATTCATACCCTTAAGACTCCCCCACTTCCCCCAAAAATCCTTGGCACACCCCTTTTCGCACTTCCAGGCCCACACTCTACTCCAAACAGGAAGTCGCGTTGGGCGTGAGGTTGGTATCGGAGCCCGACACGTGGCTAGGGTCTTAGGATTGATAGCACGATAGTCAGGCGACCAGGCTAACCGTGGGCGACCTCGCCCTCGGAACGCGTATAGACGCGACCCTATCGTCACCAGAAGCAGAGCGGCTAACCGAAGAGCAGCCAATATGGCCGCCAACGTGCCAATTCCGGCTCCGCAACAAAATGTTAATCCACCTAATCAACCTGCCCCACGTGCACGGACTCCCATGTCGCCACCAGATCTCTATCTATTTGATCCAGCGCACCATCTTGCAGTAGCATGGTTGGCCACGCTTAGAGCACAGCAGTACGATGATCACGAAGCACAGATCAACATTCCGGCTCGGCTGGGGGGGGGACGCCCATCATTGGTTTAGTACCTATGTATGGGTGGATCTCCCGACCTTCGAACGGGACTTTATGAACCAATTCGATTATGTCCACCCTGAGCAAGCGTTGTACATGATCAAGGATCGAGTACAAAAACCACTCGAATCCGTCGCGGAATATCGAAACCGGTTCTACCGAATGTTCGTAAAAACAGAGCGAGGTGAGCAAGTAGGGAGAGATCAGTTCATTGATGGACTCCGTAGCCGGACAATAAGGGCTAAGTTGCGAAAGTAGTTTTCCCCCATCACCCATACGCTACAACAAATTATGGCTGCTACGGAAGAAATGGAACGGAA